GCTGAGGCAGGAGAATGGCGTGAACCTAGGAGGCAGAGCTTGCAGTGAGCTGAGATCGCGCCACTGCACTCCAGCCTGGGCGATGGAGCGAGACTTCGTCTCTAAATAAATAAATAAATAAATAAATAAATAAATAAATCAACATAATAGTAGCTAACATTTAATATCCTACTTAGGATGTGCCAGGCACTATTCTAAACATTTTTGTATGTATCATCCCTTTTAAACTTTACAGCAGGCCTTTGAGGTAGGCACTGTTATTCATGCCTTCACTGGGGGAAATTGCCTGGTCACTCAGCTTGATAAGGGGTTTGGAAAGTATATTAACAGCCTGTAGCAACACAATTAAGATTCACTCAAAAAGAGATTTTTTTTTTTTCTTAAATGATTAAGGGTACACTGATTGTATTGGGAGGAGGTTATTTAAATAACTTTTTGTGATTGATAGATTCTATGTAGGAAAATTTGGTTGACACCCAGGAACACCTACATTGCACAAAAGGAAGTGTGCCAGTATACTGAAATTCAGTTGTGTTAGATGTTGTTCAACTTAGATTCTTCACCTAGCTCACCTTCATAGGGTATAATCCCATCCCTTTTTCCCATCCACTTCCCCTTCTCTATTGACTGAGAAAGTATGCCTGCCTCATAAACACACGTTATAAAGAGAAATGTGCATGATCCAATTTTCTTACAGTTTGTTGAATCGTAGTCTCCTGCCTGATAAAACTCTTACTCAGTAGAGATATTTGTTGCATCCCCAGGTGAGAATGATTGTCAGCAGAATTCTCCATCGATATTTATCAGGCAAATTGGAGGAAGGTAGATGGGCTGAGAGGCCAAAGAAGACCCAGGGAGGATGCAGTATTTTTGAACAGAGTAAGGCACTGGCTTGGGCACACGAGATCTGGATTTTGAGGAGCAGCTCTGCCAGCCATCAGCTGTACCATCTTGGGCAAGCCACTTAACCTCTCTGTACCTCAAGTTCCTCATTTTTATAACAACAGAGGTTGGACCAGAGGCTCTGTAAGATTCCTTTCAGCTTCATAATTCTAAGGTGTGCCTCAGTCAGAATCCTATCAAAGACCTGTAAGGTGCTTGGGATGGTTCCCTTGAAGATAAGAGCAAATGATGCAGCCATCTACAGTGTCAGACCTTCCAGATAGGGTTGTAAGGGGATCCTTCTGTACAAAGTTTCTATCCCTGAGAAGCAGTTATGAGTTAGTTCATTTATACTACTTGGTGAGATGGTATAGGGTAGACAGCTAAGAGCAAGGGTTGTGGAGTAGGACCTTAGTTTGAAAACCATTTCTGCCACCTCCTGTCCCAGGGTCCCCAGGGAAAAATTATTTAACCTCTCTGAACATCATCTTCTGCCTCTGTAAGGTGGTGGTGGTAGAATCAACTTCAGAGGCTTTGGAAGATGAAAGGCAGTTTTATATATATAAAGCACTTAGCCCAGCAACTGGCAAAATGGAAGTGCTGGATCAACAATGTGTGCTACCACTATTGGTGTGCTTATTGATATTAACATAATTCTCCTGACACGGGCATGGATATACTTCAGCATTTTTTCTTTTTTTCTTTTTTTTTTCAGACAGAATCTTACTCTGTTGCCCAGGCTGGAGTGCAGTGGCGCGATCTCAGCTCACTGCAACCTCCATCTCTGGGGTTCAAGTGATTCTCTGGCCCCAGCTTCCTGAGTAGCTGGTATTACAGGCTTGTGCCACCATGCCTGGCTAATTTTTGTATTTTTAGTAAAGGTGGGATTTCACCATATTGGCCAGGCTAGTCTTGAACTCCTGACCTCAAGTGATCCACCTGCCTCGGCCTTCCAAGGTGCTAGACATGAGCCACCGCACCCGGCCAGCATTTTTTCTTAGATCAAGCTTTCTCTTTCTTTCTGGCTTTAAGTAGCTCTAGAGTCAGAAAGATCGGGATTGAATTCTCTGCCCTGCTTTTTATTTTCCTCAACCCCAAATTTTCAAATTCAATTTAATTTCTAAATTGATATATAATAGATGTACACATTTCGTGGGTACATATGATAATTTAATACATATAATTTATGAAGATCAAGTCAGTGTAATTGGGATATCCATCACCTTTAATATTTGTCTTTATGCTAGAACATTTGAGTTACTCTCTTCTAGCTATTTTGAAATATACAATAGATGATTATAAACTATAATCACCCTACCAATCTGTCAAACTGTTTCTATGTATCCATTAATCAACCTCTCTTCATCTCCCGCCCCATCCCCCACCACCCCGCACTTTCCTGTCCTCTGGAAACTGCCAGTCTATTCTCTATCTTCATGAGATCTACTTTTTTTTTTTAAGCTCCCACATATGAGTGAGAACATCCTGCTCTGCTTTTTGTAGGGTGTGGGATCTTGGGCAAGTTTATTTGACTTTTCTGCCCCTTAGTTTCCTCATCTGTGAAATGCAGTCAGGTATAGTGCTTACCCCCAAGAGTTGTTATGAATAAGATAATGGAAATAAAGAACTTAGCACTGTGCCTGGCATCCAGAAGGCACTCAATAAATGGTGGCTGTGCTGCTCATGGTGAAGGTAATATAGATTGAGCATCCCTAATCTGAAAATCCAAAATCCAAAATCTTCTAAAATTAGAAACTTTTGGAGTCCTGACATGACACTCAAAGGACATGCTCATTGGAATGTTTCAGATTTTTGGATTAGGGATGCTCAACCAGTAAGTACATATAATATTCCCAAATTAAAATAAATCTGAAATCTGAAATGCTTCTGGTCCGAAGCATTTCAGATAAGGGATACTCAACCTATAGTAGTAGTAATGGTAAATCACTACCACCACTACCACTGCTACCCTTGGGATAGAGGGATCAATGCATTCAAGTGCCTACATTTTTTTGCATAGCTAACCAAAGTGTTGGTAGAGGCAGCAGTTGCTGTTCCTGAAGGGACAGCAAGGCAATTGTTCTGGGCTTCACAGACAATGTCTGGGGCTTTAAAACAAAGTTGTTTATGGAGGTATGACTGAAAATGATTCAGTAGCGCATAATTCTCAGCAAAGGAGTTCTGTTTATTTTTGCCAATCCTTTTCTGCCCAAGAACCTTAAAGAAAAAAATATGTATTTCTAAGGCTCAATTTTGGTTGATCACCCATGACTTATTGTCCACAAGCTTTGTCAGCAGCATCTGGGTACAAAGATGTAAAGTCTCTGTTCTTTTTTACCAAGGTGGTCTTCATTCTCAGTGGATGCCATCTCACTCTTCTTGAGCCTCTCAGTGAGTATAGGACTGGTTTGATGGCTAGAATATAGATATACAGGAACAACGGGTTCTCAGGGATGTGATATTAGGGTAGGTGGAGTTGTATGGGGAGTGTAGAGATATTATCAAATGGAAATTTAAAAACCGGGTAGTCCTGATAGTTCTGGAGATGAACCTGTTTGCTGAGGGAAGGATATCAGCTGTTTCTTTTGGTTTCCCTGTTTTTCTCTTTAGTAGTCTGTTGAAAGTAAAAAGAGAAAAAGGTCAGTTATTGTAAGTGAAGCCAAGTGCCAGGTTTCCTGTCCTTCCCAGACCATTTCAGGGTAGGAGGGTATTGGCCAGTTTCCAACAGGGTATAAACTGCACCCCACGAGGCGCCCATCCTCTGCCCTGGCGTCGTACTTTCTCTCACTCTTGCTCTCTCCCCTCTGCCCTTCATTTAAGTAGTATTAACTATAAGAACCAAGGCTTCTTCACAGGAATTTTCCAGTAACATCTTTTCTGTGTCCCAGGTATCCATTCTTTTTTTTTTTTTTTTTTTTTTGCCCTAAGTTCTGGAGTTATAGAAAGGAAAATGGATTTAAATTTTCAACAAAGATTTAGGGGTAGTTACTGATATCTAAAAAAAAACACTTCCTCTTCTACCACTTCCTTCCACTCTACTCTCTACTCTCATCCTCACCCCTTGTCCCCAGAGCAGTGTCTGTCTCCTTGTTAGTGGCCCAGGCCAAGTCCAAGCCCCTCCATGTAGGTGTAACAACCCAAAGCTCCAAGGTAGCCAGGGATATAAAAGGTCATGTCCCTTTCAGAGCTGAGATGACATTATAATATTGACAGTTAACAATCTTGGAGACTGGGGTCCTAAGGAATACTGAGAATGAGTGGCCAGTAACTACAGCCTTTAAGCCCTCATAGCTTTTTTTTTGTATTGGGAGAAATGATATCTGCTTATTATAAAAAAAGAAAATTTCTTTTCTTTTTTTTTTTTTTTGAGACGGAGTCCCGCTCTGTCACCAGGTTGGAGTGCAGTGGTGATATCTCAGCTCACTGTAAACTCCGCCTCCCAGGTTCAAGCGATTCTTCTGCCTCAGCCTCCCCAGTAGCTGGGACTACAGGTGCCTGCCGCCACGCCCGGCTAATTTTTGTATTTTTAGTAGAGATGGGGTTTCACCATGTTGGCCAGGATGGTCTTGATCTCTTGACCTCGTGATCTGCCTGCCTCAGCCTCCCAAAGTGCTGGGATTACAGGCATGAGCCACTACGCCCGGCCAAAAAAAGAAAATTTATAATAAAAAATCCAAAGGAAAGGCATTTAGGCCTTTTACATCTCACAATCACCTAGTATCTTTCGGTGATATTCCTCTAGGTATTTCTATATCTGTATATGTATCCTGCTATACGTGCTGTACTCTAACTTGCTATTTTCCCTAACAAAAATGCCAGGTTGTGGAAAACTTTCCATGTCAATAAATAGAAGTCCACATTAACCTTTTTAATGTATGCATAGTATTCCACAGCATAGATGCATCCTAATTTATTTAGCCATTCTCCATTGTTGGACATATAGGCTGTTTCCCACTTTTAGTTATTGTACACAGTGCTGTGATTAAACATCCTTGAGGGTCGTTTTTTGGGTACTTGTGTAACTATCCTTGGAGACAGCTCAAGAATTGAGATTACGGCCGGGCGCGGTGGCTCAAGCCTGTAATCCCAGCACTTTGGGAGGCCGAGACGGGTGGATCACGAGGTCAGGAGATCGAGACCATCCTGGCTAACACAGTGAAACCCCGTCTCTACTAAAAAATACAAAAAAACTAGCCGGATGAGGTGGCGGGCGCCTGTAGTCCCAGCTACTTGAGAGGCTGAGGCAGGAGAATGGCCTGAACCCGGGAGGCGGAGCTTGCAGTAAGCTGAGATCCAGCCACTGCACTCCAGCCAGGGGGACAGAGTGAGACTCCGTCTCAAAAAAAAAAAAAGAATTGAGATTACTAGTTCATAGTGTATTCATGTTTTTAAAGTTCTTGAGATATATATATATATGATATATATATATCATATATATATAAAGTTCTTGTACTTCCACCACTGGAATCATAAACTTTAAGATAACCCTATAGCCATCTAAAGATCTTGTGTCAACCAGTGCTGGGGCATCATGCTGGACTACCAGAAGATGGTACCCAAGCACCCTTCCTGTACTTCTTCTATTTATCTTCTCCTAATCACCAACCATAGAGTGAGGAAAGAATTTCAGGCTCAAAATTGGAATACTATTGTAGAAATTGTTAGGGAAGGCCTATGTAAATTTTCTTCTCTAACCACTGATCCAGCATTACCTTCAAAAATATTGTCATCAACGTATGGAGCTGGAGTCTATAAGTCACTCCTTCAATTGTAGTGAAACTTCGTAGTGTTCTAAACTCTAGTTCTCCTAGAACATTCACCTTCTTTCATGGGTTCATCTAAAGCAAATGTTACTGACATATTCTTTTTAGGCCGTAATCTTGTACCTTCTTTCTGTACAGCAAGAAGATGGGGGAGGGGATGAGGAAGTTAGTTGGTGTCCATGTGTTCAGGGATTGGTCACTGAGTATTAACATTTAAAGGGCCATTTACCTGTAGGATTGACTTTAGAGGCTTAGCTTCTGTTGGGCGTTGTTCTAGATGCTGTCTTTTCTCCTTTGACATTCCTGTTCTGGTGGATAAGCTGGGGGAAGATAGAAAGGATAAGAGTAGTAGAAACAGACACACTTCAAGCTTCTTTATCTAGTGCAGCTACTACCCCATGCCTGCCATATGCCTTTGGGCAATGTGACAACAGAGCAGGAGGATGTTTAGGCCTTTTGCTCCTCAAAACTCTGATCACCTCCTATTTTCTTCTTCTTTTTCCTCTTTTCAACATTTCTGTCCTCTCCCATCATTCCTCATTATTGGGAGGATTGTAGAACTAGACACTGAGAATCTGGAGTAGGTTCATGGCATTCATCCATAGAATAATGCCAGTAGGCTCTTTAAGAGGCTTATGTTCATTTTCTCTTCCACATGGCAAATCAGAGATTAGAAACCCTGTTTTGGGGAGGCTGTAATGCTGATAGGTTGGCTTACCTTTATGAAAATCATTCCCCTCACATGACCACTCAAGTTATGCCAGGGGTGGGGTGTACCTAACAATGTTGGAGTGTTGGTGGGCACTGCCGTAGCCCCATTTGAGCCAATGATATCAAGAGACTTGCTCAGTGCCACCCAGAATCCAAGCACCTCCCAGAACTCCTCGCTTGTGAGAAAGACTGATCCCTGTTGCTTTTCTTATCAGTAAATCTCATGGAGGCATCTCAGTACCTGTGTGATGAGCATCTTTCTCCAGAGCCTGTGTTATTCTTGGAGATTGAGATGCTCGAGGTAGGTGGTAGTTGGCAGGTATTAATGACAGCTAATAGCCAGCGCAGTCCTTCAACTATGGGCTGATGGTTTCTTCTTTCAAGGTTTCTGATGGCTGAACATGGCTCCTGTGACAGAAGAGAAGGATGCAGACCTGGAGCCTGGGACCCCTGGGGCCCACAGAACCAGTCACTCTCATTCAAACAGTGGAGGAACACATAAGCTCTGCTATGCCTAGAGAGGCTCTGAGACTTCTAGGAGACACTCAGCATTCACATCTGAGAAAGCATAATAAAGCTGAGGTCCTTTAATAAAGTGGTTGTGGTGTCTTGGGTGTGTGACCTTGAGCAAGTCACATAGAGTCTCTGAGCCTTGGCTTTTTTATCCATAAAATGGGGATATTCATGTGTCCACTTTACAGAACTATTTTGAAGGCAGAATGCAATATTTGTTACCACCATCAAGTCAGGAATCACTATGGGTGTTGCCTGACAGCGAGAGACTTTGCCGCAAACCCAACATATGGGGCTGATTATAGAATGGGCCAAGGGCTGCATCTGCTGGGCTCCAGAGGAAGAGGGAAGGAAGGGGTTGACACTTACCACTCGGCATGGGCACTTATTCTCTTTCACTAGCTTCTTTAGAAGTAGATAGTCAATAATATCACAAGGCATGAGGGCTTTCTTCTTGTCTTGTTTGTTTGCTAAGCTAAAACAGAGCATATGAGAGAGGGAGGAAAAAAGAGTGCAAGAGTGAAACCAAAATAGAAGCAAAAGGCGAGAAAAGAAGGGAAAGAGGAGGAGAACAAATTCTACTATAACTGCTACATATCCAGGAATTAGGTTTAAAGACATACCTAATGAGATGAGCTAGACATTTTTCTAGCCAACTCCCAATGAAGGAAAGTATAGCACAAATCATTTGAATCCACGATAGTCCCCCCAGGGCTCATTTCTCACTTCCCCTACATTATGCTATCAAGCTTTAATTAGAATTGCTAACTGGGCTATGAACAGATTTGGAGTTTTTACATCCTTTCCCAAACTCTGTTCATGCTCTAGTTGGGGTTGCTAATGAGGAATGAAAGAGGCATAAAGGGAGTTGGGGGCGGGGATGAGAATTGACTGGCCACCTGCATTGTCACCCTGGAATAAGTGCTAGTTATGTAACTTTTGAGCAATCTGATCAGAGAGGAGGTCATTGGCATCGATTATACAAGATAGGGGTTCTCTGCTATCATGAGGTTTCAGGATCAGAGACCGAAACCAGAAAAGATAATAAGCAAATCCAGGAAGGTAGTATTCAGGAAGAGTCAAGGGGTGGAGGTGGTGGATTCCGCTTTTCATTTCCTTTTGATGCTTCCCTTCAAAATTACCTTTGTACAGTTAGGTAACATGTCCCCCATGGCAGTGTGTGGTAGAAAGTAGCTCTTGAGAACAGACCCCAGAGAATTGGGCCGCTTTACCTCCCTGAGCCTAAGGGAACAGAAGGCCTAGCTGGGTGTGACAAAGGGACCACCCAACCCTTCATTTCTATACTTTTAAGGGTACAAATTGGGAAGCGGAAATAGGACATAAAGGCAGAATCTTACAGTAAGATGGGTTTCCCTGCCACTCTTTTATCAGACAGCAGATGTGTTAAGATGATCTTCACTTCCTGCATGCGTCTTATGTCACTGGAATCCAGGACGAAAACAAGCCCATGGGCCTGTGCATAGTAGTTTGGCCATGCTTCCCGGCCCTTCAGATCTCCATTCAGGTCGTAGATGGAAAGTTCATACTCATCTAACAAAAGTGTAGTCAGTTCCGATTTCATACAATGGTCTGTCTTACTGGGAAGTACTATGCATAGGGGAAAAGAGGAGAAGCAATCACTTAGATGGAAACTCCATACTCATCTAACAGCAGTAGAGTCAGTTCCGATTTCATACAGTTGTCTATCCTACTGGGAAGTACTATGCAGAGGGGAAGAGAGGAAAAGCAATCACAAAGTAGGGAAATATAGTTAGATCAAATAATTTGTTGAACCCTGACTAGAGCCTGCTCTGAGAAATCCCACTGAAGCATCCTGCCACCCTGCCCATACTTGGGTACTATCTTCCTAAATAATCGCTTTACCCATACTATCCTCTCCTGGCTCAGTAACCTTTAGTGCGTGTCCACTGCTTCCAGATATAATACAGACTCCTTCACCTCCTAACCTGCCAGACCTATCTCCTAGTGCTATAACCTGACGGGTGTCCACACTGTCCCTGGTACATACCAAATCTGTTCTTCCCTTGGCTCCTTTGCCCCTACTTCTCCCACTCTACATCAATGTCATGCTTTCTCTTGCCCTGGGATTTTACAAGATGTCACTCTCTGCTTAGAACACTTCTACTCTTTGCTCAGTTAATGCCTATTTTTTAAAATGTCAATTTTGATCTTGTTTATTCTAGAGTTTTCCCACACACCACCAGCCATCTGGATAAGGTACCTTTCTTCTGAGTTTACCATTGTCATAGCACATATTACAGTGTTGTAAATTCTATGGTTTATTTATCTGGGTTATAAACTGCAACAGGACGGGAACCCTTTCAATTTTATTGAAATTTATTCACCATTATATCCATGATGCCAAGCACATTCATTATTGAATTAATCTGATAAATGAATGAATGAACAGAAGGTCCTTCTCTCCCACCCTTCAATACCCAGCTCAAGTACTGTTTAGGAAGACTTCTCTGGCCTGTCCACTTCGTACTTCTCTCTCTCTTGTTGAGCACATGGTCTGTTGAGCTGGTCCTTCACCTCTTTTTGTGCTTACTTTGTCTCTCCAACTAAAACATAAGCTATATGAGGGAGGATGTTTGTATTACCATACACACAGTAAGTGTTCAATAAATGTTTATGGTGGTTGTTACTGTAGATGAAGGTATGAAGTTGTCTTCCACATATCTCTTCCAAGAAACCATGCTAGACTTAGACACATTTTCCTTTGAAAAGCTATAGCCAGAACATAAAATCTCACAGGGAATTCCATACCTCATTCAGCTCCCATAGAAATGGAGTTGAAAACGGCAGTCTTGGCTGGGCACGGTGGCTCGCGCCTGTAATCCCAGCACTTTGGGAGGCTGAGGTGGGCGGATCACCTAAGGTTAGGAGTTCAAGACCAGCCTGGCCACCCTGGCAAAACCACATGTCTACTAACATACAAAAAAAAAAAAAAACCCAGCCGGGTGTGGTGGCACACACCTGTAATCCCAGCTACTTGGGAGGCTGAGGCAGGAGAATCGCTTGAGCCCTGAAGAAAGAGGTTGCAGTGAGCTGAGATCACGCCACTGCACTCCAGCATGGGGGACAAGAGTGAAACTCCATCTCAAAAAAACAAACAAACAAACAAACAAAAACAAACAAAAAGAATGAAAATGGAAAACGGCAGCATTTATATGCATTCCAGTCTGTTGAACTGACCATTCTAGCCTAGTTCTCTTCCCACATTAGTAGCAAAATGACTTTATATATTCTCTATACCCATACCTGGGAGCACTAAGACTAGAATTCATAACTTCTTATTTGTAGTCTTAGATCTGCATGTGACATTTTCCATAGGACTGCCAAAATGAGTCATTAATGTGAAAAGTTAGTAATATGCTTTTGGGTCTTTGGAAATGAGAATACATATATATGTATGTGTATGTATATATTATTATTATGTTTAAATGTGATTTTCATAACATCTCTTCTGATTTCATGTTAGGCAATGAACTTTTAAATTATAGCTTTCAGATAAAATAATTTTCAGCCACAACTTTGATGTGATATTTGCTATATCTGTATTAGACTACTCAAAAATAATAAGTGGGCCAGGGACGGTGGCTCACACCTGTAATCCCAGCACTTTGGGAGGCCGAGGCAGGCAGATCACCTGAGGTCAGGAGTTCAAGACCAGCCTGGCCAACATGGTGAAACCTTGTCTCCACTAAAAATACAAAAATTAGCCAGGCGTGGTGGCGGGCACCTGTAATCCCAGCTACTCGGGAGGCTGAAGCAGGAGAATCACTTGAACCCAGGAGGCAGAGGTTGCAGTGAGCTGAGATCTCACCATTGCACTTCAGCCTGGGCGACAGAGCAAGATGTCTGTCTCAAATAAAAAAAAAAAAAGTGACTAGGTTAAAACTCTAAAGGTAATATTAGAGTTTCCTTCATCAAGAAAAGCTTTATATATTTTTTTGCCCTGTCAGAGAAAAAAATTTTTTTCCTTAGTTTTCTTTTTCTTTTTACTTGAAACCTTACCAGTTCCTTCAGTTAGTGCATTCTATTGTTGGTGAACCCTAGATGCTGTGAGCAGTTGTTCCCTGACAATTTACATTTATCTTATTTCCTCTATTAAAGTATAAACACTCTAAGGACAGGTACTGAGTCTGATTCATCTCTGTATCCCTAGTGAAGTGTTTCAGAAAGCATGGTCCGGGCACCATATAATTGAGAATTATGCAGGGGTGATTGTTAAAGCCTAGTCCAGACCAAATGAATCAAAACCTCTAGGCTTGGAACACAAGTATTTGCATGTTTAATGAACTCCCTATGGTTAACAAAATCCTGAGGTGATTCTTCTGCACTTTAAAGCTTGAGTACCACTACCCTAGAGAGCCATGAAACTCATGCCTGATTGTGTCTCAGCATCATCTGATGAGCTTGTTAAGATACAGATTCCATGCTACACACCTGTAATCCCAGCTACTTGGAAGACTGAGGTGGGAGGATCGCTTGAGCCTGGGCAATCAAGGCTGTAGTGAGCCATGATCACACCACTGTACCACTGCACCCCAGTCTGGGTGACAGAGTGAGACTCTCTCAAAAAAAAAAAAAAAAAGAAAAAAAAAATGGAAACTGTAGATTCCATAGGCCCTTCCCAGACCAAAGTTTTTGAATCTCCAGGTCCCCTGTCAGTAGGGTTGAAAGCTCTCCAGGTGACTCTGGTTACGGTTACTGGTTCTCAGTATTCACTGTTCTCCATGATCACCTGTAGAGCATTGTATTTATTTATTTATTTATTTATTTATTTTTAAGCCTGGAGTGCAGTGGCACCATCTCGGCTCACTACACCCTTTGCCTCCCAGGTTCAAGCAATTCTCTTACCTCAGCCTCCTGTGTAGCTGAGATTACAGCCCCCCGCCACCACACCCAGCCAATTTTTGTATTTTTAGTAGAGACGGGGTTTCACCATGTTGGTCAGGCTGGTCTCAAACTCCTGACCTTGGGTGATCCGCCCACCTCGGCCTCCCAAAGTGCTGGGATTACAGGCGTGAGCCACCACACCCAGCCATCCCCAGGCCTCGTTCTCTTAGGGTTTGAGTCCATAGATCTGGGGTGGGGCTGAAGCATCGTGACTTTTTAAAAAAGCTCCCCAGGTGATTGAAATATATAGCCAGGTTTGAAAGGCACTAGTCTAAATGTCCTCATTTAGGGCACCTGCTTGTGCCAGTGGTTGGGTTTCTTCTTGCCTTACATGACCATGCCAGACAAAAGAGTTTTAGTGAATGGTGTCAAAAATAATGACTTGGAGGAGGTGGCATAAGATGGCCAAATAGAATCCTTCAGTGATGGTCACCCCTGCAGGAACACCAAATTGAACAACTATCCACATGAAAGCACCTTCATAAGAACCAAAAATCAGGTGAGCGATCATAGTACCTGGTTATAACATCTGTATTTTTTTCTTTTTTTGAGACAGGGTCTCACTCTGTCGCCCGTGCTGGAGTGCAGTGGCTCAGTCTCAGCTCACTGCAGCCTTGACATCCTAGACTCAAGTGATCTTCCCACCTTAGCCTCCTGAGTCACTGGGATTATAGGCATGTGTCACCATACCTGGCTGATTTTTGTATTTTTTTTTTTGTAGACAGTTTTAGCATGTTGCCCAGGCTGGTCTTGAACTCCTGGGCTCAAGCGATCTGCCTGCCCTGGCCTTCCAAAGTGCTGGGATTACAGGCATGAGCCCTCGCACCCCACCTTGGTTATAACATCATGTCAAGGAAAGAGGCACTGAAGAGGGTAGGAAAGACAGTCTTGAATCACCAGTACCACCCTTTCCTCATCCCCTGGCAGCACCACATGGCACAGAGAGAGAATCTGTGCTTGGAAGAGAGAGTGCAGTGATTGTAGGACTTTGGATTGGAACTCAGTGCTGCCCTGTCACAGCAGAAAACTACATAGGGCAGAATTTGCCTAGCACTTATGGAGGAAGCATTTAGACCAGCCCTAGCCAGAGGGAAATTGCCCATTCCAACAGTTGGAACCTGAGTTCCAGCAAGCCCTGCCACCATGGCCTGAAGTGCTCTGGGGTGCTAAATAAATTTGAAAGGCAGTCCAGGCCACAAGGACTGCAGTTCCTGGGCAAGTCCTGGTACTGTGATGGGCTTGGAGCCAAGGACTTAGGGGGCATGCAACCTAGTGAGTCACCAGCCAGAGTGACTAAGGGAAGTGCTTGTGTCACCCCTCCCCCTAGTGCCAGGCAGCACAGCTTGCAGCTCCAGGAGGAGAGGGAAGAGTAAAGAGAACATTGTCTTACAACTTGAATACCAGCTCAGCCACAGGAAAATAAAGTACCAAGCAGAGTCCTGAGGCCCCCATTTCAGGCCATGGCTCCCCGATGACAGTTCTAGACCCATCCTGGGCCAGAAGGGAACCCAGTGCCCAGAAGGGAAGGACCCAGTCTTGACAGGATTCACCACCACCTGACTAAAGAGCCCTTAGGCCTGAGTAAACATCCCAAGCAAGTGCCAGGCAGCAGTCACCATGGGCCTTGGGCAAGACCTGGTATTGTGCTGGCTTCAGGTGTGACCCAGCACATTTTCAGCAGT